TACTTATTTCACAGAAAATGTATTCATTCAGTAGTCACTTATGTATAAATAAGACACTCCAGTTGCCGACGATTACTTATGAGACCTAATAATATTTAGAATTTCTATAAGAGATCTTGGAGTGATTTTCTCTCGTTTTGTTTTTGATTTTTGATTTTGGATGAAAATGGAATATATTCAACCAAACGTCATGGTGCATGGAAGAGCCCACCTAAGAATGAGGTTACAAACAAAACAAATTAGCAGTCGGAACATATTGCCAGACTCAACCTTCAAAATTGAGTTTGGCTTCGCACTCCCACTCTTTCCTCCTCCTACCTTCTTTCCACCTTCTATTAAATATAGACTTTACAGATTTAATATGAATGACTTAAATTTAATATTTTTTATGTTTATGTTTTATTTTATATTTATTAAAATAAAAATTATAAAAATAATAAAAATTTGCTTTGTAATTTGATAGTCTAAATTTAATGTTGATAATTCAAATTTAATATTAAAAATTTAAACTGACCACCTAAATATATGATGCATATATATTTTGGACAGTACAATCAATTTTTAATATTAAATTTGGATTATTTATCTTAAATATGAACTATTTAAATTTGTGAGTATATTTATTAAAAATTATAAATTTTTTAATTTTTTTATTTTAATAAATGAAAATAAAAATAAAAATAAAAATTTTTTAGTAGGGTCGTGAAGGTGGAATTCGGCGAAGGAGAGAAGCCGAGTCATGAAAATTGTAAATGGGCGTAGCGTGCGATGGACAATGTTTTTTTTTTTTTTTTTTGTTTTACCGCAAACATGCGGCTTCATTGAAGCCAATGGGGCAAATACACCTTTTGAGCTTGAAGAAAATTATAAAAAAAGTTTATATATTTTAATATTTTGTTTTTCTTTACTTAAATATTTTGCATCTTTTAACTCAATTTTAAAAATTTTAGATTCACAAATTTTTAATTATTAATTTTAAAAATGTTGTATCTTATAGCCCAGGGTTCTAGCACTGTCATTGTATATATTGGTATTGGCAGCTGATGATTTTGGTTCACCCCGGGCTCTTTGACTGTTCTTTTTTTAAATTCACCTCCTTTATTTAACTATAAATTAGTAACTCCCGGCAAAAAAATTATAAATTAGGGACTCAGTTTAACTAAAAAAGGTGTATGTTCTCCTATCTTTTGGATTATCCAATAACCCTTCAATAGATGATGGAAAAAAAATAGTATGCACTAAATGAAGAATGTGCATTTGTTTTTTATTTAAAAAATTATGTTAATTGAATCTCAAAAACTCATTAAAATTAAAAGGCTAACATGTATAAAACTCCTTGAGCTTTGAGATAATTGCATATAACTCTCCTCACTTTTAAAAATTTAAAATTAACCCACTAACTTTTAATTTTATTTTATAAAACCCCTTGTTGTTAATTATGTTATTGTTTATGAGGATTAAAATATTCAACTAAAAAATATTATTAAATAAAATATTATATTGTATAACTATTTACAATAAATTTTTTATATTTTTGGATAATTGAGGCATTGATAATAGTCAAAACAAATGTTATTATCACCATATAACATTTTAAATATTTAATTTTGTGTTAGTTTTTTTTTATTTTTTTGTTTTGGTTATCAATGGTGCATAGTTTTTTAGTATTAAAAGATAAATTAATTTAACATGATGATATTTAAAATTTTAAATATTTTAATCATGTGCATTGCATTAATCTAACATGAAAATATAAATAAAATTTATTTTTTAAAACAATAAAATCATGCACCATTGATAACAAAAGATGGATAAAACTAATATACACATAAATATTTATAATTTTATACAATGATAATAATATTTTTTTATTGATGCCTCAACTATTCAGAACATATTAAAAATCTATTATAAATAGTCATACAATATAATATTTTTATTTAATAAATTTTTTTAATTGAATGACATTTTAACCCTCATAAAAAATAGCATACTTAACAATATGGGATTTTAAAAAATAAAATTAAAGATTAAAGGGGTTAATGTTAAACTTTTAAAGGTAAAGAGGGTTATATGTAACTGTCTCAAAATTTATAAAGGTTTTATGTATTTTAGCCAAATTAAAATAAGCTTACACAATACTCCCTCCGGTTTCATTTATAAATCACATTCTAAAAGATCTATTTGGTCACATTTATAAGTCACAATATATTTTTTATATGATATTTGAAAAGTATTTTAAAATTACTTTTCATGAAAGAAAAAAGTAATATAACATTATTTTTTAAATTTATTATATAGGGGCATATTTAAAATTTTATACACTTTTATTTCTTACACTTTTTTTTTTACATTGGTATTAATAAAATTGATAAAAATAACTTATAAAGAAGATTAGGGGAGTAACTTATAAGAATGAGGGTTGAATTGTTGGCAAAAGGGGAAAAAAAGAAAGAAAGAAGGTAAATTTGTTGACTATTGTAATATTGTAAATGTGAGAAAAATTAATCATTTAATTCTTATAGTTTGAATCTAATTGTAACTCGGTATAACTTAGTCCTTAAATTTAATTTGATTGTAAATCAATTCTTAAACTTTGCCTCTTATAATTTAATCTCTAAAATTTTAACTCTTAAATATTAATCCCTGTATTTTAAAAAATAAAATTAAAAACTTAAAATATTTTAAAATTTTAATTTTTATAATATTTATAAAGATTAAAAGAGTTTAATAATTTAAAATATTATTCATAAATTTTAAAAAAATTAATCTTTATAATTTTAATTTTTTAAATATAAGGGTCAATATTTAATATGTTAAAACTTCAAAGACTAAATTGTAAGAGATAAAGTTTAGAGATTAATTTATAATCGAGTTAAATTTTAGGGATTGAGTTATAATGAGTTAAAGTTTAAAAATTAAATTACAATTAAGTCAAAATTGCAAAGATCAAATGATTAAATTGTTTTCAATAGTTTATAGATATTTTTTATATATTCCATTTTAAGTTTTAAGAGGTCTATCTTAACTTGATAATCTTTTAAACCTAATTTACCAAAGCTTTAAGAGAGAACAACAGAGAGGTTTCAAGAGGAGTTAGATGCAAGTGTCAAATTTTATAAATATGTAAGTTTGACTTTTAATTTTGTAATTTTATTATGATAAATTTGTAACTTGTTTAAAATTTTAATATTCAATCATATTAAAATGTAAAAATAAATTATAAATATCTCAATGAAATCATAAAATTATAAAAAAAAATTGTAAGTTTATAAAAGTTAACACTTGAGACTTAATTTAAATTAATTTTTTCTCTTCAAATCTATTTGTCATTCTTCCAAGCTTTAATTTAAAAATTATTTTAAAATAATGCTCTGTATCAAAGAAAGCTTTTACAGTTAACTGCAATAATGTTTACACTTATTTGAAGATGAGAGCAAAACTGCGAGTTCCTAAAATTGAATTGCTCCCCTGCTTTTGGCTTTCTATAAGCCATGGTGCTGGTACCAATACTGTTTTTTTATTTTTTATTTTTCCTTTTACATCTCGCAACATATATTTATGATCGTTTGTTTAAATTTTTTTATGAAAAAATAATAAAACACTTTTTTAAAAAAATTCATTTAATTTTATGATATTCATTTAAATTTTTAAAATCAAAAAAAATAAAAAATATTTATAGTTTTTTTTTTTGCCAACTAGTTACTTTGGTGAACTACTTAGAATGATTTTTAAAATAATATGATGCGATATATTAGAGTGAATGTTGTAAAAATACAGAGATACACAAAATATCATCAAAATTTCAAAATAAATAAACAGCAACTCGTTTGTTTATGAATAGAGATCCAATAAAACTTCATAAAATTTAACAATCACTAAATACTGATCACTTTTTATTATTTTAATTAAATATAAAATAATTTTAACTTTTTGTAAAATCTCCAAATTATCTAAACATTACTTTTTTAATCTTAAAATATGCTATAAACTTATGTCAAAAAATTTAGAACTTTGAGTTATCTTTTGGGAAAATGATAATAAAGTCCCAAAAGATGAATTGATGACAGTTAACTCTCAATAATTTTTTTATAAAATAAATTATAAATATCTACTATTCAAACAGTTATAAATAGGGATTTAAATTTCAAATTAATTATCATATTTAAAATTTAAATGTCATATTTGTAATTAAAATTTTAAATTTGTAACTATTTGAAATAATATTTACAACTAATTTTTGAAAAAAAATTGTTGGAAACTTAACTATCATTAATTTTTTTTTTTGAAATTTAAGTGTGATTCTTTTTCATCTTTTTCTTAGTAAACACAAAGGTCTCGTTTGGTACAATGGAAGAGTGTTTGATGGAATCGAAATTAAAATCGGAATTGAAATTGAAATCAAAATAGAATTGAGTTATAAATGTATGTTTGGTATGAAGATGGAATCTAAATATAATATTAATAAATATATGTATTTAAAATAAATAAAGACCAAAATGCCCTTATAAAAAAAATAAAAAACTCAGCCATCATGATGAAGTGTGTATGTGGGGCACTTATGACAATTTCATATAATTGTGGCAATTACATCATGATGGAGATGAAATTGAATTCTGGATATTTTAACAGAATTGAAATTCATAAATAATTGAATTCATGCATACCAAACTATTGAAAACATGATTCCAATTCTAATTTCATTTCTCTTGGACCCAATTCTAATGTATCAAACATGATCAAAGAGTATATCCTGTCAGCAACATCAATTGTTTCCACTAAGATATGAAGGACAAAGATTTCTCCCAACTAAATTGTGTAGCATACAAGGGCTTAAGTTGTCTTTAACTGGCTTAATATGTTCAACAATATATTTCTCTAGTTGTATTAAATTTATATGATTTTTAAATTTTTTTATCAAAATAAAAAAATTGTTTATCCAAGTATATTATATTATCTAAGCTCATATATTATATATCAAGACTATTTCAATAAAAATGCAAAAATAAACAAAAGTTTTTTTAAAAAAATAAATGTATTCTCAATAAGACTTCAAAAAAATTATTATTATAATTTACTCATTTGATTGATTGAAGAAAATGACCCAAAAAAAATGAAAAGAAAAGAAAGCAAATGTCATCCATTCCTAATTTGAGATGGCATCCATGATCCAAGCTTAATTAGCACGCGCAAGGACTACGTGGTTCTGCTTCTGAAACAGTTTCGGACATCCTCGGAAAATATCTGCAAACATAAGAATGGCCTAAAAAACCAAAAAGAAAGACATATATAAAAGCATAGGATTGTTGTAGTCACGAGGATGACTACTGGTCGAGAGAGAGAGAGAGAGAGAGAGATGAAATTGAATATTCTTACATGTCTTGTTCATGTTCATTTTCCAGCGCAATTTTAGCAACACATGAGAATGCCTCTTCAACATTGTAGTTCTCTTTTGCAGACGTTTGAAAGTAAGGCATGTTTTCCCCTTGAATCACACCATTCCTTCACTTTCTCCTCACAAACCTCCAAAGTTCAAACATATAGGAATCATGTGGTTTAGTTCGTTGTATTCAAGAATAATTTGATCCTAAAGACTTCATATAATTATATTTATAAATTACTTTTAAAATAATTCTTTAAAATTTAAAAAAAACCTTAAAACTTATTAGGCCTTATTTGATATATAGGAGTTTGGCCCTAGAGAAACCAAAGGGGAAGGAATTGGAATCAAGCTTTGAATAATTGATATGCATCACGTAACATCCCGAATTTATAATCATGCATTAATGACTAATTAGGAATGAATCAGTTATTTAATGTGGGATTAGAGTTCTACGTGATGAAGTGTTATATCGACTTATTGGGATGTTATATAAACAGATATGAGTAAAAGAGTAGAATCCCGGAGCAAAGCGTGTAAGCATAGTGAGGATTTCCCTCACTGTGCCACACATCGTGGTTGGTGATAAATGCGCCGTGGTGCATGGAGCAAAAATCAAATTAGTAGAATGTGTCTAGCTCGTGGAAAACAGAAGGGAGAACATAAGAGAAGAGATCAAATGTGGAGAAGTGCAAGGGATCTGCTAGAGCAAGCTAAATCAGGAGCAAGGATTGTGTCTCTGACTCATTACTTATTGAGTAAGTACGTTAACCTCCAAACCTACCCTATTTTTTCTTAATTTTAACTAATGAGAAAGTGAATTCGGGAGTTTTAACAAGTTGATTTTTTACCCAATCGTAATAAAAAGGTTTCTCGGAGTTAAACTAGTGCTTTTTAACTGGTTTAAGTCAAAATGATAAAGTTTTGAAGCTGTAAGCAAGAATTGCCCTAATCTAGAGAGAGAGTAGTGAGAGAAAATTGTTAAAAAATGTTAAAGCTTGGAACAAGGAAAAATTAGTGGTAATGTGTGTAATCGATTGTGACCTGAGGATTTGATAGCAATTAAATGTTCAATTGCAATAATTGGCACTTTTGGTCAATAGAGGAATTGACTCTGAATGCCATTCTGTGTAGATTCTAGTGTGTAATGCATGAATTAAGAGAAAGAAAATTTGAATAGGGTTGAAGTTACATGTAACATCCTGATTTTTTATATAATAAAGAAATTGTGGAATTTAGGTTTTGAGAAAAAAAATGATATAATAGGAATTTATATTTTTGAGGTTATTTAGAAATAATATTATGGTTAGGTATTTAATTATGAATTTAAAAATTTGAGGTTATTTAGAAATAATATTATGTTAGGTATTTAATTATGAATTTAAAAATTTAAATTTAAAACACATAAGAAATATTTAGTTAAGATATAATACATAAATAATTTTTTTTTATGTATGTGTTAAAAAAAAGAGAAGGTAGAAGGAACAAAAAAAAAGGGGGTGGAAGGTTGTTGTTTCTAAGTCCCACATTGGTTAGATGAGGGAAGAGAAGAGGTGCCTTCATGTATAAAAAGGAGGGGGTGTGTGCATTAGGAAGCATGAGAGGCTAAGATGCAATTTAGAGAAAATTGCAACTTTTGGGCCCAAAGGTTTGAATAATTAAATTCAAACCTATAGTTTTTTTAATATAATTTTGGGACTCACAATCCCATTTTTATATTATTTTTCTCTCTTCCTCTCACGTTGCTCGGCGTGTTCTCGCAAGGGGGGATTATTTTCTTTTTCTTCAGGTATGTTCTAACTTTCCTGTTTAGATTAGCATTTAAAAATTTATTTAATTACAAAATTAATTTTATAGTTATTTTCTAAATAATATTAGCTTTCTAGTGATATGATTATTTTGTAGGATAGAGTAAATATTTTGATTAGGATTTTTCTATAGGATAGTTAATCTGATGATATGATGGATTAAAATATAGGTTAAAATTCTTAGGGATATAAAAATATTATAGAATATTTTTTAAGGTTGAAACTCATGTTTAAGAATTTTTGAGTTAAAATCTAGATCTATATGGTTGAATTTATGTGGAATCTGAGACGTAGGGATAAACCTATGATTATTAAATATTTATCTAAGTATGAATAGGTATTTTTGAGGTTATAGAAAGGTGATTTGAGGCTTCAGGATAATTCTAAAAATTTTTAATTTATTTTTGGATGAATTTTTAGAATATAGAAGGATGAAATTGTGATACTAGAAGTGAATTGAGGATAAAAAAAATAGTTCATTAGGGTACGAGAATTTTAGAAAAGAATTTGGAAAGTTAAATGAGGCATAAATCTTAAATTAGTGTTAATATGGACTATAGATCTAAGACTTTCTAACTCTTTAAATTAGAGTTATTTATTTTAATGTAAAATTAATATATAGTATTGTGAAATAATTATGTAGATTATATTGACAAAGATAGTGGTGAAAAAGGAGTTGTGAAGGGGAACTTGTTATTCAAGACACAAGGTAACCATTATTAATGTGTTGTGATGAGTGTGTTTGTGAATGGTTATGTGTTGTTTTGTTGTTTGGAAAAATTATGAATTATTGAAAATAAATACTGTATATACTTGTTTGAAATTATTGCCAAGTGGGTTAAAAATTTATTTTTGTTTATCATGATGAGATATTATTGTTCGGATATATTCCTGTTTGGATATTTGAATGATGCATGACTTGTCAGGGTATTTTAATGTATGGTGTTAATGGGAATTTCTGTTCGGTTAATTATTACCACGTGGTAAGCCCTCATTGGACCCAATGAGTGGCGTGTCGCTTGGTCCAACTCACCTTTGGCCGGGTGATTTGGCGTCCGAGCATGGCGAAAGGAGGATATAAGGTGCAGTCATGCAAATTAAATACTTGTTCGGTTTGTTTGAAAGTATTGTTCGGTTAAATGTTTTGTGTGCCCACTTAGCAATCGCATGATTAGTTACATCCGCATGCATCATTACATATTAATTTTTGGTTACTGGGACTTTTAAGTCTCATTCCCCGTGGTTAATATTTTTACAGGAGCGAGTCCGGCCGAGAAAGCACCAGAGGTGTAATTGGTGTATGAGACACCATCTTTTACGTTGCCTCTTATTTTGGATTATACAATGTATCTTGTGCCAACTTAGGACATATCTTCTTGTGAGCATGTAAACTCTAATCCTTTTTATTAAATGCATTTATATGTCCAAGAGGATTATGTCTGTCCCTCTTGATTCATGACCTGATTTAAATAACATGCTATGAGGATCATGTCTGTCCCTCATGGTTCTAATTGTTTTTTGAGATATTTTAAGACCTGTGGTATATTGTCTTGGATGTATCATGGTAGAAATTTTTCTACCATGATAAGGGTTCAATGAAAAAAAAATAAAAAAAAGGATTTGTTGAATTAATAACTTGTGAAAAATCGGTTTGTAAATTTGAGGGTGTTACATATTGGTATCAGAGCATATAGTCGGTTGGCAATATACATTGTTATGGTGCTTCTCATTGTATGGCCATGATATAGCTAGGCTAATTTTATTATTTATATCTTGTATCCTTTAGGAGGGGAGAGAAAATGCCTGTTACTCGTGGTAACTCAGGATTCCAACATGAGCACCTACCACCGCCACTGCCAAATGAGGAGCCTGACTTGGCGGAATTGAGAATGCTTGTAAAAACATTAACAGACAAGGTTCAAGGATACGAACAAGAGTTGACGGAGCTAAAGAGGCAAAAGGTAACTGAAAATGGAGATAGGGCTCATGTTGAGAGTCATGTGGGGGAAGGCAGTTCCTCACATCCTGCCACTCCGAGAGATCATGAGTCTAGAAGGAAGGAAATTAGGCAGGAGGAACAGAGAGCCCCACCGACCATTACTGATGTGTGGGAAACTGTTAGGAAGTTTAACCCTCCTACGTTTGATGGTAACCTTAAACCATCCGTGGTAGAGGAATGGGTGAAGAGACTCGAATCCATCTTTCGAGTAGTCACATGCACCAGCAATCAAAAAGTACAAGTAGCATTAGTGCTCCTAGTGAAAGGAGCAAGAGATTGGTGGGAGACAGCAGGGCCCAGGGATGATTCTACACTCACCTGGGAGGAATTCAAGGAAAAATTATTCAGGCATTACTTTCCATCAGAGTTAAGGTCTGAGAAGGAAGCGGAATTCCATGCCTTTAAGCAAGGGAACCTCGATGAGGACACATTCATTGCTAAGTTTCAGGAGTTATCTAGATACTCCACGTACCTGCAGTATAGGGATGATTCCGAATGGAAGGCTAAGCGCTTATTGGAGAAGGCTAGACCAGAATTGAGGGAACAATTGGCTCATCTAGATATCCGAGATTATGATGAAATGTGCATAAAACTACAAGTAGTAGCTCGCAGTAAGAAGGAGGTTGAGAGAGAGAAGAGGGGTTATTCATATAGTAGACCCCCAACCTACCCTCGACCCACCGGAGGCATTATGAAGAAAAACCATCAGGGTTCGAGTAGCTCATGGAACCAAGGAAGGCAGAAGGGTCCATTTCAAAGGGGCCAAGGACAGAGGAGCTATCATAGTAGTTATCACGGGTCACAGAGGAGCCCAACAGTATCTACCCTGCCCCGAGTACAGCGAGCTCTCAACAGTGCACTAAATGCGGGCGTCGTCATTTCGGACAGTGCTGGGTCTGTTACATTTGTGGGAAACCCGGTCACATTGCAAAGTTTTGTGGGGACAACCAGGGCTCAAATATGAAGAACCCTTCCCAACATCCTACTGTCTCTGGCGTGTGTTTGCTCTTACTCAGGACACCATGAACTCCCCAGATGCCATTAGAGGTAACATCAAAATCCTTCATCATGATATTGTTGCACTATTTGATTCGGGTGCTACACACTCTTTTATTTCTGAAACTTGTGTAAAGAACCTTGATTTGCCTGTGTGTATTTTACCTTTTGATATGAATGTGTCTACTCCTGCGGGAGAATCTGTGAAGGACTGCTAAGGCATGCCTTAACCTAGTAGTCGAGTTTAAAAATAGGAAAACAACTATGGACTTAATTATCCTACCACTGAGAGGTATGGATGTAATTGTGGGAATGAATTGGATGGCTGCAAATGGTGCTATCCTAGATTGTAGAGAGAGGAGTGTGTCTTTATCTTCTTTGTCGGTGACCCCAGTCGAGACTCAAGATCATGTTTTCTTGTCGGCGGCGCAAGTTGATAGATGTATGAAGAAGGGTTGCCAGGCCTACATGGTTTTCTTCTCTATCCAAGCTGAGATTGATGAAGGCGTGAAGAATATCCCAATTGTCAAAGAATTTGCGGATGTATTTCCAGACGAAGTCTCCGGTTTACCCCCAAAGCGCGAGGTAGAGTTCTCAATTGAATTGGTACCCGGTACAGGGCCAATTTCTAAGGCTCCTTATCGGATGTCCCCTTCAGAGTTAGCGGAACTGAAAAAGCAAATTGAAGAGCTACTTGAGAAGGGTTTCATCAGACCGAGTGTTTCACCTTGGGGATCTCCAGTCCTTTTTGTAAAGAAGAAGGACGGAAGCCTCCGATTGTGCATTGATTATAGACAATTGAACAAAGTAACCATCAAGAACAAATATCCACTTCCGAGAATCGATGATTTGCTGGATCAGCTTGTGGGATCCGCAGTTTTCTCAAAGATTGACTTAAGGTCAGGGTACCACCAATTGAGAGTGAGAGCAGAGGATATACCTAAGACAGCATTTCGGACGAGATATGGGCATTATGAATTCATGGTGATGCCGTTTGGACTTACGAATGCTCCTGCGGTATTCATGGATTACATGAATAGGATCTTTCGACCCTATTTAGATAAGTTTGTAGTAGTGTTTATTGATGACATTCTTATTTATTCAAAGGATGAGGAGGCTCATGGTGAACATTTAAGAATCGTCTTGCAAGTTTTGAGGGAACATAAGCTTTATGCCAAATTAAGCAAGTGTGAATTTTGGCTCCAAGAAGTAAAGTTTTTGGGCCATGTTGTGTCCAGAGATGGAGTTGCGGTGGATCCTAGCAAGATTGATGCAGTGATGAAGTGGGAACAGCCAAAATCTGTTACAGAGATAC